ACATAAATACTAATCCCCAATAACTTTAATTAAACATTATTGATTTGCATATGTAGATCACAAATCAAACATGTTCCATGGTCTTAGAACAACAAATCAGTAGAAGCAGTCTTGAAACAACGAATGATTCCACATCTGTGGATGGAGAAACACTCATTGTTTGCTCATACAATCTGTTTTTCTAATCCGTTCCATTATAATCAATCCTTCTTGCACAATTCACATTTGTGGACAGAGATTTGTACAAGAGAGATTGAATATAATGCAATCTTGATCAGGATCTTTGAATGAAGAATTTCTTGTATCGATTTAGTTGATGTGGCTCACTTAATCGATTCAAGATCCTCCCCAAACTTTGATCAATATCAGTCTTTCAAGCATGATTTGAGCAGAGAACTTTATGCTTAACTCATACGTTAACAATTAAGATATGCAATCAAACTTACATGCTTATAATGACAGTATAAAACATATTCCTTTTAAGGCGAATTTTATCTTGTAATTAGGTTAAGAACATATAACCTGGCTCTGATACCATATGTAAACTTAATTGGTTTATATGCTCAAAACACATAACATACCTTGATCTGACATGGTGATGATTACTGCAGCAAGGAACTGGATTTCTTGCTCTGGAAGAAACTGAAATTCTGTAGTAGGTTCTTGGCTGGTTCGTTCTTGGACAGATTCGCAGTATCGCAGTATGGTAGTTTCTCTATGCTATCCGGCTCTTGAATCTCTTCTTGATGAGGTAGAATAATATGAAAGTGATTTGCCATTAGCATAGGGACCTCCCTTTTATAAGCATAGTTTAAGAATCCTCCTCATCATGGATTACTTAAACTCCCTTAGCCCAAAGGATTAGGTATCTCAATCCATTCAATATAGGAAATCTTAAGCACTTGTATTTATCTGAAAAGTCATATATATCAAGCCTTAAAATTGAATCAATCCATGTAATCCTAATTGACATTGGACTAGTTATCCTTAAGTGATTAGAAGACCATCTTTAGGGTTTGTATTAGAATGCAAATCTTACACAAAATACAATCACTAACAATCATAAGAACATGTCCATCTCCCGAGTCTTCACAGAAAATATCTAAAAGAACAAATCCATGATGACAAGGGACAAGAAGGACAAAGAAAAACCCTCTACAGCAGCTGGTGAAGAGGAATTATCAAGGGGTAGGGAAAACCCAAGAGTAGCCTTCACAGTGGGCGGTGACGGTGACAGTGACGGGACAGGAGCACAAGCAGTTCGATGACGGTGATGATGTGGTAGGAGGGGTAGTGGCCGGTGGTGGTGGTGGCACAGAAGTTGGTGCAGAGGGCGAGGCTCCAGGGGTGGCTGAGATGGTGATGGCTAGCTTCTGGCCTGAGTGGCAGTGGGTGCCATAAGTGCAGATGAAGTAGTTGTCACCTGCTGAGGTGAGGGTGACATTAGCTGGGCCTGTTGTGATGGACGGGCCAATTGCGTTGTCTGAGCTGCATGAGTCGAACGATGCTTTGGGTACTTGTTGTATATCGTGTGCGTAGGTGGCGAAGTTGAATACTGAAAAATTATTAAGAAATAACGTCTAGTGTGAGAAGAGAGGTAAGTAATTAATTTTTAAGAAAAAAGAATCAACTAATACTTAAGTTATATTAATCTAAAGGGTAATTTAAAAATCAAGTAATCACATGAGAATTAGGTAAAACCCAACGTCAAATAATGATGAGTACTAGTTCCCCAATTGACTAGCAAAGACAAGAGGTGAGAAGTTATAAATTAGAATAAAAAAGGAAATTAGAACACTTGAGAAATCTTACTGAGAATATCACCAACAGCAAACTTGTTAGCAGATGCCCAAGTGACATATTGTTACCCAGATTGTGGAATGGTCCAACCTAAGCTATCTCCCACCACATACACTGTCTGTGCTGCTACACATTGCACAAACACACCAAAAACAACCACCATTTTGCTCTCTCTCTCTCTCTCTCTCTCTCTCTCTCTCTCTCTCTCTCTCTGTCGCCTTGTCTCTTAATTTACCAAATTGTATTGTATGGGTCACTGATGAATAATGAGAATATATGGAAACGATATATGAATTCAAGCTTATAAATAAAAGCTCTGGTGGAGTAGAAGAAAAACAACAGGCAAGACTTGCTAGAGTCTTAGACGCGGCGGCGACTGACCATGGGGGACAAGACAGAAGAGGGTACATGCAATGCAATTCAATGCATGACCATGCATGCACTGACAAGAACGTACGTCGGTCATCTCAAATTGTATGCTTTTTGCCTTTGTTGTTGGAGTCCAATGTGTGGAACCAAGACCCAAAGTGGAATGTTCCAACCCTTCTACTTTTCTACGTGGAGTTGCACAGAAGTTGCTACTACTTTACTCATATAGTAGGTAACCATCAATGCAATTCGAGAATAAATAACTTTGATGATTTGGTTGTGAATATAAGTATAATTTATTCTTTTTATTAATTGTTAAGGGCATTTGAATTTGGGACATTTATTTAATTATTTTGGATACAAGCGATCAGAAAAGGTGAGATTCGAACACAGTTACACAGAACCGCATATGCAAGGGAGATTCGAACACAGAACTAGTTGCTTGCAATTATTCCTGAAATTAAGTAATTATGATTACAAATTATTGATTAATTTAAGAAATATCTTTGAAATTATAATGGTCTAACTTAGAATTTATATTATTGTTTTAAAGAATTCTAGTCATTGCATGTTTTGTTGTCCAATGTATCCCAATCAGTTTGTTACCAACTAGCACCTTGAAATTCTTCTTCCTACCCAAAAAAAAAAAAAAAAAAACCCTCAAAATTCCATGATTTTCAAACCCTTATATCAGGTTTAGTGTGTTGCCAAAATTACATTTATGCCCTTTTAATTGTTTTTCCTGTGTTTTGAGCTCAGTGCTCTCTTTTACACGAGCTTTATTATATGCGAGCTATGAACATGTCTCCAAACTCGCTTTTGCTGGATTCACGATGATGAGCACCAATTCATGAAGGTTGGGCACCTCTTGGCTACAACGACGAAGAAGCTCAGAGTGTTCAGTGTTGTGTTTGTTAATGTGTAAGCTTCAGTATAGTGTTGGGCACGACTGAAATTAACCTTACATTTCTGCACTTGACCAGGTGGAAAATCTCCATATTCAAGCTAGGGGAGATGGCGGCGACGCCTACATCGTTGACATGAAACTTTTCGAGCTCACTTGCTCCGCTATAGCTTGTAGAAGCTTTGCCGTTATCACCAGAGGACTAAAGAGCTTCAGAGTCCTTGGCGCCAATTATGAGAAGACAAAAAATGATGTCCATTCTGTAGGTCGTTGAGGTGAGAGTGTTTGGTTTAGTGTTTTAGATATGTTTTCAATTCTTGTATTGAGATCGAAAGCGTATTGCAAGGTGGTTTGTGATCTTGAATTGTCTTGAAGTTGTGTATGATGCAAGTTACAAGTTCAATTCGGCTACCATCTTCAAACTGATGGGCAGACTGAAGTTGTTAATTGGTCCCTTGGAAATTTACTAAGAAGCTTGGTGGGAGATAATTTGAAGTCATGGGATCAAAAGTTGAGCCAAGCATAATTTCTTTCAATCACTCTATCAATAGGAGTACTGGGTTCAAAAATGTTTTTGCCTCATTTAGAGAACAAAAATGAGGCAAAAACATGTTCGGTGGACCAAAAACATAAAACATTGAGAATGTTTTTATAAAATGAAAACAAGTTCATGTGTACTTGTAGAAAACGGAAAAAAGTTGTTTTCATTCTCATGGGAAATGTTTTCATAAAAATAACTCACATATTATTATTTCAAATTGTACTAGTACTATCAGACACATTTTCATTGTTTTTATTTTCTGAAGATGTTTTCTAATTAATCTACCATACGCATTTTCATTTCCTGAAAATGCAAATTCGTTTGCTTGTTTTCATTCACTAAAAATATTCTAAGAAAACATAAAGCGGGTCCTTAATGTTTAGTCCAAAAGTTGAAAGGCCCATTGGGCCAGTCAGTGCGTCATCTTTTCCCGCCAAGCTGAACCCTCTTCCCGCCGTGTTGAACCCTCCCATACAAATTAGCAATTGCCTTTCCGCCTTCTGCCATTAGGTAAAACACTTCCATCTTTTTGACCCAAAAAAGCAAAAAGACTTCCATCTTTCTGACTTCTTACCATTTTATCCAGGTAATACTTTTAGTTCTTACCATTTTAGTGTTTTAAACCCTATTTTTGTTACCAATTTTGTAATTTAGCTTTTCATTTTGATGATAGGGACATTTTGGAAAAAGCAAAAGGAGAGAAAAATTTTAAAAGAAGCAAAAATGGACAAAAATGCCCTTATTTATTTTTAGATTTCCTAAGGAATCCAATACATTTGCATGTCTTTGATTTGAAAGTTGAGTGGTTTTTTTGTCTTTTTTGAAAAAGCTTTGGCTTTTTCCAAAAGTGAAAATTTTTTTATGTCTAAAACCTAAAAAACCTTTGATTTTCATATGTTACCCTAAAATTCCCATTTTTCCTTCACTTGGGAATTCCATCACTGATTTGCTATGATTTTTATTCAGTAATAGGAAAAGCATATAAGTGATTCTTTTTCCACTTCAGTCTGTTTTTCATTAGGTGGGTCAGTTGTGGATGTTGTGCTAATGTGGTGATTTTGGTGTTCTTTTCTCTGTGGCACTTAACCACAACTGGCTTAACCCTTTATTTATATTATTGTAGTGTTTTTTTTTTTTTCAAATAGATTCATGAAGAGGAAAAGAAAGTCTACATCTTGTGCCACCCATATAGGGAACAAGGATGACCACATTCAAGAAATGGGTCCTTTTATAACAGATCTTCCAAAGTCTATCATTCACACGGTTCTACTAAAGATCCCAACAAGGAGCATTCTCGTGTGCAAGTGTGTATGCAAGACTTGGCATGGTCTAATTTCGGACCCTGAATTTGCTCAGCTGCATTTTGCACAAGCAGAGGTCTTTCCTATGGTCCGGCCCTTGGGTCCAGCACGCGTGTGGAGAACCCTTTACTTTGGTGAGCCTGAAGATAGCTCTGGTTCCTTTTTGAAGGACTCTGGTGCATATGACCGTTATCGTAAGCGATCTGATTTCCACATGACTCTTTCCAAATGTAAAATCCCATTGCGCAATGCTGAGCAAGTAATCAGTGACCACAGTAATGCCAATGTGATGCTTGATAGGAAACATGGCACTACAAGAAAGCCTTGCATCAAGGTAAGGCGAAATGATCACAAGTACAATGTGGTGAACTCGTGTAACGGCTTGCTTTGCCTGTCTGAGCCATTCTCCAATGACCCTGCTGTTGTGTGCAATCCAATAACCGGAGAATTTATAAACCTTCCCGAAGGTTCTAAACCTGAGAATGAAAAGATTTCAATCGATTGTGGATTCGGATTCAGTCCAAGGACTAACGAATATAAGGTGATAAGAATGTTTAAGCAAGGGACCCCTCGTCCTAATAGGGTGGCTGAGATACACACACTTGGAGCAGGTTCATGGAAATCTGTTGGTAGTGCTCCCTACTTAGCTAGTAAGCTAGCATTCCCCACCTATGTGAAAGGAGTGCTTTATTGGTTTTGCGATGAGTGGTCAAGTTTTACCATAATTTCTTTTGACTTGGATACTGAAAAGTTGCAATCAGTTCCATCCCCGCCTTTTGGACGGGAGGAATGTCATAATGTGGTCTTGGGAGTTTTGGGAGATTGTATTTGTGTGTGTCATACTGATGGTCTTAAAATCAAATTTTGGACACTGAATGATTCTGGTGCACAAAATCTTTGGAGGAAGAATATTTCGATTGATACCCAAGATGCTGGAAGGTGGCCGTACGGATCATTCAAACCCATGAAATACTTGCAGAATGGGTGTCTGTTGATGGGTTCAAGTCAGATTTTGAGGTATTTAGTCATGTTCCGAGCTTTATTTCACTGAAGGATATTCTGGTGGGGAAGGATGTAGAAGTACTGAATATAAATTCAAGGTAAAGATTTAACCTTTTTGCATTATTCTTTTACCTTCTAAGACTTAATATGAATTGGTTGTTGTAGTCATGCTTTTCTAGGATGTTAATATAGAAGATTCTTGTTAGCATGCTTTTGGGAGGTTGGTTTGCTTCTTTTTTGTTTTGCTGTTGGGAAGTTAACTCGTGTGTGGAGTTGCTGTCTAAAATGTGCCTCTACCTCAGAAGGCTTTGTATATGGACCAACATTTATGCATGATTGTCATCTAAAGATCCATAAATAACTCAACATGTTCATGAATTGGTTCCCAATCAGTTTGAACTGTCGTCTATGTTTTGATTCAGTCTTCGATTGTACATGGTTGAGTTTTATCTTTTGGGTAGATGAAGAGCTTATTTGAATTTCTAATGTTGAAAACAATAAATGCATTTCTCATTTTGGAATAGCCTTATGTAAAAGCCACTTTTTCAAACCTTCCATTAGTCATACCTTTTTTGAGGGACTGGGGCAAAGCAATTGACAACTTCTATTTATTCTGTTTGCATATCTGTTTTAAAATGGTGCTCATTAAGGCATTAAGAGAACATTAACCTAACACATTTGTTCAAGTATTTTTTAAAATTCCTTGGAAATGACCGGTATCTGTTCAAGTATTTTACTTTTTGATGTCACAACTGCTGATACAGGTGTGCAGGGTTGAAGCTGCTAGGAGAGACCAAAGCTCTTTTTCTGGAGGAAGATATTGCGGAGTTGGGATCAGATTTTTATTCGACTGACAGTTGCGAAGATTGCGAAGATTGTGAAGATTGAAACAAGCACCCACACAGCACGCTGATAGAGGTGATGCAGTCTAACAATGAGCTAAAACACCATTTTGTTAAAGAGGGCTGTGAGCGCCCTTGACTAATATTATATAGTTGGACACCAGAACCTTAATTGGCCTCTAACTTAGTGACCAGCTAATGTTTTGTTTGATGATACTTCAAATATTTTTGGATTAGAAGTTAAATTTCTTGTTATGTTTATGGAAGTACAGTGATGTTAAAGGCTAATGGTGATGATAAAGGCTTTGCTTATATCATCTTTGGTTGATTTGGTGAATGAAGTATGTCTTCAGTACGCAAAAATAATTATTGACGCACTTACAACTCCTTATGGTGTTTTTACCCATGAGCTTTGGTTCTCTTGATGGACTGAAGGTTGATGAGGCTGAGGTTTGTTTTATTGTCAAAAGCTAGAACTTGTTGTAACTGAAAATGTAAAAGTCGTGACTTGTTAACTTAACTGTGGCCACCACAGAGGATTTGCAGCTGAGCAATCAGATGAAATGAAATTGTCTCTCTCAACAAACAAAAGAACCTTGAAGTTGGGGAAGTGAAGCCACAATCAAGCAACAAGTCTTTCCAACTTCTCTCCATGATCACATATGAATGAAATCGTGAGATTTGTGTCTGTAAGGAAAACATATGAGAGGAGGACAGATCCGTTGCACGACGAACCCACAATCAGTAGACGCTCATTGACACTTAACTGGACTATGAATTGGAAAGGTCCCAAGGAAAAGCCTCCATATAGGAGGAGAGCAACCCCTTCTCAATTCTCATCTCCTCTTCTGTTTTCTTTTGGGTTAGTGAATAAGTTCATTAAGCGTTTTGATTTTGGATCAGAAGCCTTTTGTTGTGATTTCTTATGAGGCATGCTCATATCGAAGTTCACCATGACTTCTATTGGGCTATGTACTCAATCAAATCCTACTCCCAAAACTCTTTATCTAACACTCTCATCTTCTCTAAATTTAGTTCTACCTCGTATTTGAAGAGTTTGCTACCCAATTGGTTTTTGCCATAATTAATATATTTGTTCGCTGTTATTCGCGCTTAGATCACTGGAAACCAATTTTTCTCCAGATTTATCACATGTTTTGTGTTAACCTAAAGACTATATGCCCTAGTGGGTGGGATTGCGACTCTTGCGTTGGTTTAGTGTTTCGGTTATCTTGGGTTTTGTGGGGTATCATTGAGATTTGGCTTAATTGTAGTGATGTGGGGTATCATTGAGATTTGACTTAATTGTAGTGATGTGGGCTAGTAATTGTTCATACACCTTTTGTCCGCTTTACTTTTGGTTTTTAGCGTGTTAGTTTTCTTGTCCTCTTGGGCTTGGTTCTTTAGATGGTACAAGCGATAGTCTAAACTAGAGGGAGAAGGGAGGTTTGTCACACATACGCACTACCACAGTGCCATAGGGGTTCAACTTGTGACCACTAGTCTGCAAGTCCTTTTCACTGTGCTAGACTCTGTTAGCGTCATTTCGATATCTTAGTTTGTATTCTTGAACTTTATTTAAAGAACTGGTTTTTTTATTTTAAAAAATAGATAAATTTATAATATAACTCATTTCTTGCATTGATTATATATATAAACACTAAAACCTATAAATTGAAGAAAAAACCACAAAAAAAATGACCAACTGATGTGTAAAGTACCACTATTACCCTTGCATTATGATTTTCAGAAAGAAAAAAAAAAAATACTCTAATAGTAGTGTTGTAATTTTTAGGTTTTTTTAAGGCTTATGCAGTATATTTGGTCCCTTGAAAAAGTCAAAATGGGCTTAAGCATAAGGTTTAAGTATTGTAGGTTTTTCTATATTTTGGACCCTATTTATGGGCTTACATGTGAACACCAAAAAAAAACCCATTAGATCTAAGCATTTTTTAAGATAAAAACTCTAATCGGGCCGAAGATTTGTCAACTAAGGATAAACTATTATAATTTTATCGTATTTCTTGTTTTGTATGTGGATGACATACTATTGTTTGGGAATGACAGTGAATACTTTACTTGGGATTAATATCTCTCTTGTGCAAGAATTATATAGTGAGGGGCATGATACATGGCCCTTAGGTAAGGCCTTATTTCTTAATTATTGGATCAAATTGGTTAGTCGTTAGATGAAATTGGTTAGCTCGATCCAATAGTTAAGAGATAGGATCGCACCTAAGAGCCATATATAAGGCCCTCACTATAGAATGACTCCTCTATTGTGATAGATCTAGAAAGCAACTGGATCTTAAGTAAATGGACAGGTATCAACTAAATAGACCAAATTTGGGAAGGTGGGGTTTTTTCTCTAAGTTCTTATTTGTCTTTAAAATTTTGAAGATAAAGTGGTTAGGGAAATAGGACAGAGGGATGGAAATAACAACACTCTTTAATATATGTCATCTAATTATACACATGCGCATAACCCAAAACTTATACTTTGAAATTGGTAAGTGTAGCATTGTTTTCAGATTGATTAAGGAGTATGAGGCAATTAAGAATTTTGTCAAGATTATATTTACTTTAATGTTTTATGTTATATTTTTAGAATAAGTTATCAATCAAGATATGGTAAATTTCACTTTACTACCCAAAAGTTTACCAAAATTTTGACTTTGCTACCTAAAGTTTTTCTCGTATAAACTTTGTACATAAAGTTCAATTTCCTTCCATTTTCATACCCACCGTCAATCAGCCGTCAAAAAATATGTTAACTCATTACGTAGTAAATGGCGTGGCAACAGAGAGACCCACAAATTATTTAAAAATAATAAATACATTTATAAAACATGGTAAATATTTATTTTTAAAAATTAAAATTGAAAAAACACAAAAAAAAAAAAACCTCTCTCATCCCCTCTCTCTCAATTACCAAAACATCAATTAAAAAGCATTGAAAAAAACCTAACCAGCCCCCTCCTACGCCATCCCCGACGACCAGCTACCACCCCTTCTATCCCACCACCATACCAACCACGAAGACCCACCCCTCTCTTTCAACTCATTTGGTAAACTATTACTTCATCAACAAGATCAAAACTAAAACATCAAGAAAAAATTAAAACAATAACGCTCATGGCAAAAACAAATGCTATATTTGTTTTCTGGAGATAATTTATGGCATTATGGGCAAAGTGTATGTTCAGAAGCATCCATTAATTGAAGCAACTACTACTTAAACATAAACAGGTCGGAAATAAAAAATTTGAATTGAAGCAACTACTACTTACCCCCTCTGCAACTCAGACGTTACTTCATCAATCAACTACTTAAACAGGTCGGAAATAAAAAATTTGAATTAAAGGGCTTGGGCCCTAAATGATTTGAAGCATTTCAGAATTTACAAAAAAAGAACAAAAAGATGATTGTGCGTGATGTAGGGATGTGGGGTTGAGCAAGCCACCAAGACCTTCCCACCCTCAGGGCATAGGGCCTAGCTCCTAGCATCCATTATTTCAAGCATTTGTTAATTGCTAACTACCCATGGTGGGTAGGGAGTGCCCTGTTGGCCTAGGGCTTACTCAAGATCCACATACAACCAATCACTTTAATGCCCTGTTTAGTTACAAGCCCACACTACTAAGCTCGGCAATTATAAACCTCAGTGTAAGGCCTTATAAGTCTTCCTATATTTCAATAAGTTTCCGATGTGGGACTCTAATGTTGTTTTAATTTGTGTAAGAGCTAGAGATAACTTGTATCGCAAGTCTGTTATCAGTAAAGGAAGGAACTTGAGGTGAATTGGAGACATCTTTCTTGCCCTTTTTTTTTTCTTTTTTTCTTTTTTCTTCTTCTTCTATTGTGTATGTTGCTAGAAAGGTAAGAAGGTGCTTGGAAGTATTCTCAAAGATCTTTCAAGCTTGACTTAAACACAGACATGGCAGTCTCACAACTTGTCCTGGCGGACGCACGATGCCCCCCAATTTAACAGGGACAATTTTCATGTTTTTATTACTTTCTTGTAGTTCGTATTATTTACAATAATTTAATAATTTTACATTTTCTTGGTCAATTAGGCTTTCTAAGTGTTTTCTTTTTCAATTATGATTTCTTAATGCAGTTAAGGTTTTTTTTTTTATATCTTTTTGTTTCAACAATCAGTAAAGGTTTCATGCGGGGACTATTTTGACCACTGATTTCTAACATTTTATCTTTTTTTTTGGGTGACTTTCCATATATTTTCTACATATTAGAATTAGTGGCGAATTCATGTCGGGAGGGGCATGTTAGACCTTATAAAAAAAATTCAGAAAAAAGACCATATAAAAGAAATTGACTTTGGTATAAAATCGGAACAGTAGGAGATAAATTAATGATTTTGTTGTGTTAATTTGCAATGAAGTGTTCTTTTCAATTTCTAATCTACAAGTCTGAACATTTAGAGAAGACAAATTACTAAACAAAATTTGTGGAAAGACCTCTAGCAACAATCTCACTCATATACATAAGTAACCATTTGAAAAAAAAAAAATTAAAATGAGAGGGGACATATGGGCCCACTTTAGTCCCTTGATGGCTCCGTCACTGATTGGAATCTTCTTTATTGGTACAACGTGAATCCCACAGGGCAAACGTTTTTCGCATTCTTAAGGTAGTGATAATAGTGTATCATAATATCTCCGTAGTGGATACAATAATTCTAAGTTTTAAACTCGAGGATGAAGTTCTTCTCATGTTGATCGAAAGGCCAATTCATGATTTGTATGTGAATTAGCTAGATGAATGGTTCATAGAAAATATTTTTTCAACCAACAGACGAAGCGGAATTCAAATTTGAGACACTTTTAACAAAAAAAATAAGAGAAATATCTCTAAGCATTATCAGCACGGGCGGAGCCAAATAGTCCCAAGGAGCTATGAAGGCAAAAAGTTCTACATTGAAAAGTTGATAAACCTAACAAGGGCTTATAAGGAGTTGGACTACTCCCCCCATTGCCAATTGGTTTTGGGGTGTAAGATTCGGTTGCGCAATGCTGACCAGGCAAC